AGCTTGCACAGGTTCAAGTTAATTTGTAGTGTGCAATAATCATGAACTGCTCCTCACCAAGTTTATCACTCATTTCAAATCCCCATGGAAAATTTCACTCATTTGTTTACGTTTTCTCCTATGTACATGAATCTTCACTGAAATAAAATAAAACTTCTTTTATTCCAGAGTTCATGATCCAAGAAAAAACAGATCAGATAAAGCATAGCCAGATCTTTTTTTTTCTTCTTTTTTAAAACAACTTCTGAAGTAAGACGCTTAACAGAAAATTTAATGGAGGATTCGGGTATTCACGAGCTAAATACAGATTTATACTTTCGCAAAGAAATAATCATATCTTTCAATCCGGAAGGCAGATTCTGACATATTATATATGTAAATCGCCTATCTCGACGAGACGGAGCCAACCAGATTGTCAGATTTTTACAACCTCACTAGTTATGCTCAGTTTTGACAGAAATCCGAAAATAATCAGCTTTTAATTTTTTTAGTAGTAAACTTGGAGTTTATTTAGATTAGGAAATAAATTCAATTTTAGAGTCCAATTAGAATTAGGAAACAAATTCATTTTTGATTTATGATTTGTTTCCTCTATTATAAGGAGTCTTTTTTAGTTAGAATTTAATACTTTCTATTTCTTTGTAATTCTATTAGGAGTTTTAATATTTTAGGAATTCTTTTACTATTTTTGGTAGAGTTTGAGTCCTTGTAGGAGTCTTGTTTCTTTTTTTTTCTATTTAAGAAGAGTCTTGTAAGCCCTAGAGGCATAACTTTTCATCAATAAAATTTCTATTTTTTAATATTTTCTTCGTGGATTCGAAGTTCTTCGTCGATTCGAAGATCGTTCTTTGTGGATTCAGAGAACACCCTTTGTGGATTCCGAGGTTATCACTTCCGCGCTACGTCAATTGGTATCAGAGCCTTGTTTCTCCGATCCGATGGCAGGTGATGAAACCCCTTACTCTCGAACCGAGTTTGACGTGCCGAAGGCCGATTTTAATCAGATGAAGACTATTTTTGAGTGACTTGCGTCGATAGAAGAGCATCTCGTTGATGGTCGCCAACGACGTGATCCGACTCCATATGATAAATTCAACAGGGACAATGATCTTAAGCAAGACATTAGAGTTGAGAAGAGTAGTAAAGAAGCAATAAAGAAAGAAGAACCATCTCCGGAGCAAAATATCTTTCGCACGAGATGCACCGTGATGCAGAAGATTTGTAATGTTATAACTGATCATCACAGCAGCAAGAATCTTGTCTCTCGGCGTATGGTGGAGAAATTAGGACTGAAGACAGAGAAACACCCACCTCTCTACATGATCGACTGGATTAGCATGGACGATGTTGTGCAAAACGATGAGAAGTGTCGGGTACATTTTTTCATTGGCTGAACTTATATTGATGAGGTTTTGTGCGAAGTGGTCGAGATGGATACTTGTCATATGATTTTAGATAGGCCATGACAATTCAATAATGGAGCTAAACATAGGAACAGAGACAATATTTATATCTTCAAGAAAGATGGACGTCAAATTGTGCTCAAGTCTCTTATAGAAAAGGAGCCATTTAAGATAAAAGCTACTGAGAAGAAGAAACATTTGGTGACAAACAACGAGGCTTTAACAGAAAACTTGAAGCAATCTGAAGAGGTCTATCATTTGGTTGTAAAAGAAGAAACTGCCTCTACCAAAATTCCTCCTAAGGAGCAAACACTTGATATGCATGAGATTCATGATGGTGATATGATAGTGAAGATGGATGATATGCATAATATTCTTAAAGTGGTTGAGAGTGATATTGCACATATTGATGTTGTCCCGATAGAGGATAAGGATAAAATAGAGAGTGATGCAATTGATGGTATGTGTGAATTGCTTGGTGGAGGGCTAGAGACAAAGGAGATAAAAGAATTGTGTATGGAGTATGACGCGAGATTCTTTTCGCTGGAAGCAAAGATTGTTAATAATTTCAAGGTGATGATACTTTCAGCACTAGAATATGAGAAGCAACATGGAACATATTTTGAGGAGTTTTTCAAGTCAATTGCAGATTCACATGCTGTCAGACACGTAACCATGGTGTGTGAAAGATTTATTCAAGAATTTGAGTCAGAAGAAGTCCTAGCTGAAGAGGCAAAACAACAGATGAAGAAAATGAATGCTAAGTACAAGGCAGATGCTGATCGTTGTAAGAGAAGAAAATTATCTATCAATGAAGCTACTATTCTACCAAATATAAGCTCGGGGTCGAGCTTCTTTCAACAAGGGGAGACTGATAAATTTAATGGAGGATTCGGACATTCACGAGCTAAATATAAATTTATACTTTCGCAAAGAAACAATCATATATTTCAATCCGGAAGGCGGATTCTGACATATTATATATGTAAATCGCCTATCTCGACGAGACGGGGCCAACCAGATTGTCAAATTTTTACAATCTCACCAGTTATGCTCAGTTTTGATAGAAATCCGAAAATAATCAGCTTTTAATTTTTTTAGTAGTAAACTTGGAGTTTATTTAGATTAGGAAATAAATTCAATTTTAGAGTCCAATTAGAATTAGGAAACAAATTCAATTTTGATTTATGATTTGTTTCCTCTATTATAAGGAGTCTTTTTTTAGTTAGAATTTAATACTTTCTATTTCTTTGTAATTCTATTAGGAGTTTTAATATTTTAGGAATTCTTTTACTATTTTTGGTACAGTTTGAGTCCTTGTAGGAGTCTTGTTTCTTTTTTTCTATTTAAGAAGAGTCTTTTAAGCCCTAGAGGCATAACTTTTCATTAATAAAATTTCTCTTTTTTAATATTTTCTTCGTGGATTCGAAGTTCTTCGTGGATTCGAAGATCGTTCTTTGTGGATTCAGAGAACACCCTTGGCGGATTCCAAGGTTATCACTTCCGCGCTGCGTCAAATGCTCATTATATTGCGTGGAGCTTGCACAGGTTCAAGTTAATTTGTAGTGTGCAATAATCATGAACTGCTCCTCACCAAGTTTATCACTCATTTCAAATCCCCATGGAAAATTTCACTCATTTGTTTACGTTTTCTCCTAAGTACATGAATCTTCACTGAAATAAAATAAAACTTCTTTTATTCCAGAGTTCATGATCCAAGAAAAAACAGATCAGATAAAGCATAGCCAGATCTTTTTTTCTTCTTTTTTAAAACAACTTCTGAAAACAGAATATTTTATTGAGAGCTAATCATTGTGATTCTGAAATCTCGTAATGGTTAGTTATATGGTGTGACAGAGTGGGCATGCTCATGAACTCGTGCGGGTGCATCAAAAGCCACAACCCATTATGCAATACGCACATCTAGTGATCATCACAAACTATAAGGAGCTTGCATTCGTGCTTCTACTCATTTCTGTATTTTTCTGACTATCACTTATACAAGCAGTTCTTTAAGAATTATGCATGATCTACGAGAAGAAAAACTAAAGCCGAGGAGTTTTGGGAGCTGTTTATCGCCACTGAGAATATAGTGGACACAAAGTGGGAGGACCATGTAATCTTTAATTAGCTCAGGCTTTGATTAAGGACTTCAGTGGGAAACATCCCTATAACCTTAGGTTATGATTTGAAGTCACTAATAATATATCCTTTTGACTACTTTAGCCTCGGTTCTCATTACTATAGCAAATCAAGAAAATGCTCAACAAATCCTCAAAATTGATTAAAATTGATCTTTTCTATACTAGATTATAGGCGACGCGAAGGAAATAATGTCAAAACATTCATCGGAAAAAATGTTCGAAACATAACTCTATGTTACACATGCATCTTTTAACCGGATTAACTTGTCAAGTACCTAGTGGCTGGCCGGCTGAAAGTGTTTTTTTTTATTCCTATAATCCGGCACACGATTAAATGATGTCTTTAAAGTATATATTTATGAACAAATCTCAAAGTGTTTGCACGTAAAAGATAACAAAGTACTTACATGTAAAGATAAGGGAAAGATAACAATAGTAATGTAGAGAGACAACTCGGAGGAGAATGATAACAGAGGCACAAAACAGAGTAACACTGATCAAAAGGAAAAGAGTAAAAGTGAAAAGAAGTTGCTATCATCACCCCCTCCATGCCATCAGGGAATTGTTGGAGAGGTCATTGATGCCTTTTCTTTTATGGAGGACCCTTGATTTCTCTTTTGGATGAAGCTTGAGGATCTACTCTCATGCACTAATACTTTAGAATTTTAATTGTGTATATCCAAACTAAGTTTCTATACCTATAAGGCAAGAGAGAACAGTCTAGGTTGATCTCAATACACAGAATGAATAGCATGATAAAACGAGTACTGAGCTTTTACGTATTCTTTTGGGTCTGAAATATACCTGTTATAGAGACAGAAGATAAGAGATAGTGAAATAGAAAGCATGTGCGGAGGAAAAAAGAACAGAACAATTCAGATTCAAATCTTACAAAATATTCATTTAAACGTATTTTTTTGGGTAAAATACACCCAAGTTTGCCGCTTAAAAGTGTACAATTGCAGTTACTTTTGCATAAGGAATTAGATCATATTCTGACCAAAAGCCAAATATTCCCTCTGCTCTCTTTTACCAACGCTATAAGTAGTACTCCACACACTCACACACCCTCTCAATTTTCCTAATATATTCACACCATCCTGTCTCCCTATTAAGAACCTTCAATCCTCACAAACTTAACTTTACTCCACCACTTTCTTCATTCTCCCACTCTCTCAACAACTCAAATGGACAAGGCAATTCAGCTTCTCCATCAACCCCTGATCACAATCCAAGTACACAAACTGATGCTGAGGGCTTATTCCTCTTCAAAAGCTCAATCCAAACTGACCCACAGGGTGTTTTATCAAACTGGCATCTTGCTAACAGTCCATGCAACTGGTCAGGTGTGTTTTGTGTTGAAGGGAGAGTTGGTCATCTCAATATCAGCTCTTGCAACCTCTCAGGGAACTTGAATTTCTATCCTCTTTCTTCTCTTAACAAGCTCTCGGTTCTTGATCTTTCTAATAATCATTTCTCTGTAAACTCTTCTTCTTTGCTTCAGCTTCCTCGTTCATTGCAGCAGCTCAATCTCTCTTCTTCTGGAGTTTCAGGCCTAGTGCCTGATAATTTCTTCGCAATTTATCCTAATCTTATGACGCTTAATTTCTCACACAACAATCTCTCTGGTCCTCTGCCAGAAAATTTTCTTACAAATTCCGTAAATCTGCAGAGTCTGGATCTCTCCTTTAATAACTTGTGGAACACAATATCAGGAATCCAGTTTCAAAATTCTTGCGCTAACTTGATCCAATTTGACATTTCGATGAATCAAATGACGGGTATGATCCCTTCTTATTTATCCAACTGCACCAATCTAAAGACCTTGAATCTTTCTTATAATTCCTTTATAGGAGAGATTCCAGAATCTTTTGCAAATCTTCGAACCTTGGAGAGATTAGACCTCTCAAATAATCATCTCTCTGGTTCAATCCCTTCTGGCTTAGGAAATGCCTGCGGATCATTACTATATCTCAAGTTATCAACCAACAACATATCTGGGTCAATTGCTGATTCATTCTTCTCATGCTCATTGCTTCAATTTCTCGACTTGTCGAGCAACAATTTGTCTGGTTCGATTCCAAACAATGTTCTTAAAGGTTTTTCTTCATTGGAAATGTTACAATTAAGCAACAATTTCATAACAGGACAATTTCCGAGCTCAATTTCTTCTTGCAAGAATCTAAAAATTGCTGATCTTAGTTCAAACAAGCTAACTGGAGAGCTGCCACCTGATATCTGCTCGCTTGATGCTTCACTAGAAGAGCTTCGAATTCCTGACAATCTGATCACCGGCAAAATTCCACCACAGCTATCAAAATGTTCTAAACTCAGGACTATTGATATCAGCATAAACTATCTTCATGGTCCGATTCCTTCAGAGCTTGGCCAGCTTGAAGAACTCGAGCAACTGATGCTATGGTTCAATAGCATAGATGGAGAGATTCCTTCAGAGCTCGGGCAATGTGGGAAACTGAAAAATCTCATCCTCAACAACAATTTCATTTCAGGTGAAATCCCTTCCAATCTTCTCAATTGTAGCAATCTTGAGTGGATATCATTAACGAGCAATATGATTGGTGGAAGAATTCCTAGAGAATTCGGGAGGCTCTCGAGACTTGCAGTCCTTCAGCTAGCTAATAATAGCCTGACTGGTGAAATTCCAGTAGAGCTTGGAAACTGCAGTAGTCTTGTTTGGTTAGATCTGAACAATAATAGACTCACCGGTAAAATCCCATCAAAACTTGGTCGACAGATGGGATCAAAGACGACATCAGGGATTCTCTCAGGCAATACCTTAGCTTTTGTAAGAAATGTTGGCAATTCTTGCAAAAGTGTAGGAGGACTTCTTGAATTTGCTGGTATCAGACCTGAGAGGTTACTGCAAGTGCCTACACTCAAGACTTGTGACTTCACCAGGCTCTATTCAGGCGCGGCCCTCAGCGGCTGGACTCAATACCAAACCTTAGAATATCTCGATCTTTCATACAATGATCTTCATGGCGAGATCCCTGTAGAGTTTGGTAACATGTTAGTCCTCCAAGTTCTGGACTTAGCACACAATAGATTGACCGGAGAGATCCCAGCATCTCTAGGCCAGCTCCGAAATCTGGGAGTCTTCGATGCGTCCCACAATCGACTTCACGGAAGCATTCCTGATTCATTCTCGAACCTCTCATTCTTGGTTCAGATAGATTTGTCTGATAACAATCTCACAGGCCCAATCCCTTCGAGAGGGCAGCTGAGCACGCTTCCAGCGACCCAGTACGCAAACAATCCAGGACTCTGCGACGTGCCCCTGCCTCCATGTCAAGCTCCAGGAAGAACTGTTTCTGCCAATGCACAGCTCGACGATGGAATGCAAGAATCTAAGAGATCAGTAGCCTTTTGGGCCAACAGCATCGTCCTTGGTGTGCTGATATCAGTCGCAGTGGTATGCATAGCCATCGTGTGGGCTATCAGAGTTCGTGCCAGACGAAAGGAAGCTGCGGAAGCCAGAATGCTGGATAGCCTGCAAGCAGTAAATTCAGCGGCAATCTGGAAGATAGGAAAGGAAAAAGAACCCCTCAGCATCAACGTTGCAACATTTCAACGACAACTTCGAAGGATCACCTTCTCTCAACTAATTGAAGCCACGAATGGTTTCTCTGCTGCCAGCCTGATTGGATCAGGCGGCTTCGGTGATGTATTCAAAGCCACGTTGAAGGACGGTTCGATCGTCGCGGTCAAGAAATTAATCCATCTAAGTTACCAAGGCGATCGAGAGTTTGTCGCAGAGATGGAGACTCTAGGAAAAATCAAGCACAAGAACCTCGTACCGTTACTAGGGTACTGCAAGATTGGGGAAGAGAGGCTACTTGTGTACCAATACATGAAGTATGGTAGCCTGGAAGATATGCTTCATAGCCAAACCAAGATATTGAATTGGGAAGAGAGGAAGAAAATCACAAGGGGAGCAGCTAGAGGTTTATCCTTCCTTCATCATAACTGCATTCCTCATATCATACATAGAGACATGAAATCTAGCAATGTGCTGTTGGATGAAGAGATGGAGGCTAGAGTGTCTGATTTTGGCATGGCAAGACTGATAAGCGCACTGGACACGCATTTGAGTGTGAGCACATTGGCGGGAACTCCAGGGTACGTGCCACCGGAGTATTATCAGAGTTTTCGATGCACATCGAAGGGTGATGTGTACTCTTTCGGTGTTGTGATGCTGGAGATTTTGACGGGAAGAAGGCCGACGGATAAAGAGGAGTTTGGGGAGACTAATTTGGTTGGATGGGTGAAGATGAAGGTTAGAGAAGGGAAAGGGATGGAGGTTATTGATGGAGAGCTGGTGAAGGATGTGGTGCAAGAGGAAGAAGAGGAGATGAGAAAAGTGTTGGAGATTGCTGTGCAATGTGTCGATGATTTTCCTTCAAGGAGGCCAAATATGATGCAGATTGTGGGTTTTTTGAGGGAGATTAGTGCTGGAGTTGGTGTTGAGGGTGATGTTGTTGTTTAGAAGATGGAAGCAGTACTGTTTCATTACTTGTGTTGTTTATTTTGTGATTATATGTTGTTTAATAAGATGGTGTTTTAAGTAAGATTAGGACAAGTTTATGATTGAAATTCGTGTTGTTTGAACTTCTCATGCAATTTATGATGGTTGTAAGATTTATAGGATGTGGCTTAAGGCCAACAGATGAGCTATTGATGTCATAGATTAACTCCTTTGTACCCTTAAAGGTTAAGATTTTGCATGACGCGATGAAGATATCAACCTCACCAAAAATCTCCATAAACCAAACTATTTTTGTCGATGCCAAAACCTCAATAAATTCGAGAGCAAGTTATTTCATTAGAATATTTGTGTAAGCATATCACAGTTACTTCAAATTACATAAATCTAACTATAAAGTTAGTTTTCAAGGACAATTTTCATAGAACGATTTGTACAGGCCATTAGGTGATACAAGTGGCTCCGCAAGTACCATTCTTTTATGTGGGAGATGATTAAGCCTCTTCATGTCCTCGTCACTCACTTCCCAATCAAATATCACTATATACTCTTTTAATCTCTCTTTATTAAAACTCTTTGGCAAGAAGCTTACCCCCGTTTGAAAAGCCCACCTCAAATAAACCTGTCCGCTGTAAAATTGATGAAATAAAAACACCATTGTCCTTAGAAATATGAACTTGTTTTATATTATTCTTCTGGGCAAAATTAACAGATTGGTATATTTTATTGACCATTCGTGACACATTGGTATATTTTCTTACTCCAGCGACTATTGGGTATATTATGTAGACTACGACGACAAATTAGCCTATTTTTAGCCGGAGCCAAAATTCCGGCCAAATTGAGTCACGTGACTCCTCACATACAGCTGATGTGGATTAAGTGGGCTTACATGGCGGGGTAACTGAAAAGGGAGAAAGAAAAACCAATGCTACCACCCCAAAAAAAATTTCTATTTCCCCTCTTTTTCTTTATTCATGTCAGGGAGGGGATTACTCTGCCAAATTTTGCAGAAATTCTCCTTGTGCATAATATTATTTAATGGGTTCAAAATCTTGATTTGACTATAATATGGTTGATATTGAAATTAAACTTGATTTTGGATCAAGCTTAATTTTAGGTTTATGATGGAATTATTCTAAGTTTGACCAAACCCAAAATTAGGTCCAAATTCTAGAAGTTTTCTAGAAACACTCTAGAAGGTTGATCACCTCCTTAAAGTGTTCTAGAGAAATCTTTAAGCTAAATATCTAGATAATAGTATAGAAACATCTAGATAATTTGTGATAAAAATATTTAGATATTATGTAGAAATTTCTAGAGATTAGAAAAATATCTAGGAACTATGGAGGTGATATTAGAAGAATCTAGATCCTTTGTAACATATCTTTGGGAGGCTATAAATACCCCCTCACCTCTCTCATTTGTAAGCAAGAAGAAAAAGTTGAACAAGTGAATAAAGCAAGCTCAAATAAAGAGTCTATATTAGTGGTAAATTGTTTGTTAAACATCATCAAAACAAGAAGGCCAACAGTATTACGGTCTTAGGCTAGTGTTAAGCACTATCGGTGATTTCTTTACATGGTATCAGAGCCATTCTAATCTTGTGCTCTTCAAGATCGGGGTTTAAAGAGAGCTCGGGTTTACTCTAAGTATGGAATCAATGGGCCGTGTCGTTGGATTGGGAATGTAGATCTTAAACCAATCTAACTACCGGTTATGGAAGTCATGTATGGAGTCATACTTGGTTAGTGAGGACTTATGGGATGTCGTCAGCGGTAGCAGCACAACACCACCAAGGGGAGATGTTGCAACAGCGGAAGCGACAAAGGAGTGGACACGGAAGAATGCCAAGGCGGAGTTTGCTTTGAAGAGGTCAATATCTTCAGGACTATTTGAGCATGTCTCAAGATGTACATCCGCAAGTGCTATTTGGCAGGCACTAGATCAATTGTTCAACAAGAAGAACGAGGCTCGTCTACAACTGTTAGAGAACGAGTTGGCGAATGCGAAGCAGGGGGAGTCTTCAATCTCAGAGTTTTTCATCAAGGTAAAAAATCTTTGCTCTGATATTAATACTCTCAATCCGGAGGAGTCGATTTCGGAAGCATGGTTGAAGCGGTCTATTATTCGTGGTCTACGACCCGAATATACACCGTTTGTTACTTCAGTTCAAGGATGGGCTACACAACCTTCCTTGGAGGAGTTTGAAAATCTACTAGCTTCGCAAGAATCACTAGCCATGCAAATGGCGGGAGTTAAAGTCCATGATGACTCGGGGAGCGCTTTTGTAGCGAGGAGACAACAAAGCTTCAGAACCAAACCCAAATATGGTAATGTGAAGAATAATGATGGACGGGAAGGATCTTCTACAGGAGACAAGAAGCGATTCAAGTGTTATCAGTGTGGAAAACTTGGGCATTTCAAAAAGGATTGCCGAGTCAAGCTGAAGGAAACAAATATGGCGGAATCAAAGGGTCATACTGAAGACGAAGAATGGGGAAAATGTTTCACGGTGGAGGCTGCATCTTCAGGTACATCCACAGCTAAAAATCTTGAAAATGATTGGATTGTGGATTCTGGTTGTAGCCATCATATTACTGGAGAATCCACAGCTAAAAATCTTGAAAATGATTGGATTGTGGATTCTGGTTGTAGCCATCATATTACTGGAGACGAGAAGTTATTTTCTAGTCTTCAGCGTCATGACAGGAAAGAAGCCATCATTACTGCGGATAATTCAATCCACCGCGTTGAGAAGGAAGGGACAGTCGTTATTGAAGGAGATGATGGAAGCCCAATCACTCTCAAGAACGTATATCATGTTCCTGGAGTAAGGAAGAATCTTCTCTCTGTGGTGAATGCGGTTGACTCAGGTAACTACGTTTTATTTGGCCCAAGAGACGTTAAATTCTTAAAGAATATTAAAGAATTAAATGCGGACGTGGTTCACACCGGAGCATGGGTTAAGGATTTATATGTTTTATCGGCCTCAAATTCTTATGTTGAGAAGATGAGTACGAATGATAATGCCTTTATATGGCATGCTAGGCTTGGTCATATAAATATGACTAAGCTAAAGGTTATGGTGAATAAGGATTTGGTTAACGAGCTCCCAAAGTTGAAGATTCATGATGAAGGAAAGCTTTGTGAAGGCTGTCAATATGGAAAGTCACATAGGCTTCCATTTGACAACTCCACTTCACGATGCAGCGCTCCGTTGGAGAGGGTCCATAGTGATTTGATGGGTCCGACGAGAACATCCTCCTATTCTGGGTTTCAGTACATGTTACTGTTTGTTGATGACTTCTCACGGTACACTTGGGTATACTTTGTGAAGGAAAATCAGAAGTATTCTCCAAGTTTCAAGAATTCAAGGTTACCATGGAGGGAGAATTAGGTCAGAAGATCAAGACTTTAAGGACGGATAATGGAGGGGAGTTCATGTCAAAGGAGTTTCTCTCTTTTTGCCAAAAACATGGTATCAAGAGAGAATTTACATGTCCGTATACACCTCAGCAAAATGGAGTAGCGGAAAGGAAGATAAGATATCTAAGCGAGACATGTAGAAGCTGGTTACATGACAAAAATTTGCCTAAGGCCTTATGGGCGGAAGGCATGAGATGTGCAGCGTATGTCATCAACCGGATGCCACTTAGTCCGAACAATATGAAGTCTCCTTATGAGATGGTTCATGGGAAGAAGCCAACGGTGAAACATCTCAGGATATTTGGATCAATCTGCTACGTCCACGTGTTTGACTCTCAAAGAACCAAGTTGGAGGCAAAGGCGAAGAAATGCATCTTTGTCGGCTATGATGAACAAAGGAAGGGCTGGAGGTGTATGGATCCAGAGACACACAGGTACACCGTGTCTCGTGATGTTGTCTTTGATGAAGTTTCCTCATTTTATGGGCCACCTCAAGTCTTGGTCGAACAAGAAGGTGGGGGTTCCTCCAAGATCGATGAACCAGTTGTTCAAATGCCAAGTGAAAGCGGAAGTCTTGAAGAAGAGACGCAAGGTGAAAGGGGGAGCACTGATCAAGAGGAAGATGAGGAAGAAGATCGTAGTTCCATGGCTAATCAACGGCCAAAAAGGAACATTGTTAAGCCTGCTCGGTTCAGAGATGAAAGGTTTGTCACTACTTACTCATGCTACTTTGCAGCTCCATTAGATGAAGAGGAGCCATCATCGTATGATGAAGCAAAAGGAGTTCAAGAGTGGGAGGGCGCAATGAAGGAGGAGATGAATGCTCTCATGAAGAACGAAACTTGGGATTTGGTTCCAAAACCCAAGGATGTCCAACCCGTTTCTTGTAAATGGGTGTACCGAATTAAGCGAAAAACGGATGGGAGCATTGACAGATTTAAGGCAAGGTTGGTTGCTCGAGGGTTCTCTCAAAAATATGGAGAAGATTATGATGAAACTTTCAGTCCAGTGGCAAAGATGACTACGGTACGCTCACTTTTATCTTTAGCCGCAAGCTTTGGTTGGAAGTTATGGCAACTAGATGTGAAGAATGCTTTTCTATACGGAGAGCTTGATAAGGAAATCTTCATGGAGCAACCGCTTGGTTTCAAGTCACGAGAGCATCCTGATTATGTCAGCAAGCTTAAAAAGGCTTTGTACGGGTTAAAACAAGCTCCTCGAGCTTGGTATGGAAAGCTTTCTCAATTCCTTCAGTTGCGGGTATGTGCCATCAAATTCTGATCTGAGTCTATTCTTCAAGAAGAATGGAGGAGTCCACGTGGTGGTTCTTCTTTATGTGGATGATATGATCATCACCGGGAATGATGATGCTGAAATTGCTCGTCTACAAGAGGATATGTCGGTGAGGTTTGAGATGAAGAAGTTGGGTGAGTTAGAACATCATTTCATATGGGAGAAGGTGCTTGATGGAACAATTGAAGCTTTGGAGGTTCGAAGCGAAGACAACGTTGCATATATCTTCACCAAGTCACTACCAAAGGGCCAATTTGAGTTACTTCGCTCGAAGCTTGGGATGGTTGACAAAATCAAGTTTAAGGGGGAGTATTGAAATTAAACTTGATTTTGGATCAAGCTTAATTTTGGGTTTATGATGGA